TAATTTCCAAATGTGTAAATTATAAACTATAATCTTCTTTATTTTGATTATAATGGTTAAGGCCTCAGTGGACTCAGATTACTTACATTGATACATGCAAATGTAAATATAATATGCAAAATAGTGAACTTTCTTTATATTTTGGAAATCTTAACCTTTGGTAAATAAAAAAGTATTTCTTAAGTGTTTTCTTTTTAAAAGATTCTAAAGTCATACAAAACAAAATTTGATTCCCCCAAATATTTTACACATTAGGAAATATTTTTGAAAAATATATATTAAAGGTAAATACATCTATATTAAATACATAAATAAATCTGCCTACATACATGTCCATATTTATACATTATGTTGCACCTTAGAAATATTTCCATAAAAGAGGTGTCTTAAAATCATATCATACTTCCCTGAGGAAGGTGATTAACCAGATAGAACCCAGTACAAAATTAAAATAATGTATTTTCACAAACTACCTTCAAGGTTTTAAATACAATTTTGGAAAAATAAAAAATAACATAAATACAATCTTGGTCATAGTTATTAGGAATGCATTTTTCAAATTTCATTTTGAATTCATACATTCATTGAAATTTCATGAGAATTTCTCAAGTTTACACATGCATTGACAGATCAAAATCAAAGTTCAAATAAACCAAAGTTTTAGAGTGGATTAAAATGATCCCTGAGGACCAATTAACACCTACCAATATTTATTAAGCAGCCTCTTAATTCCTACTTAATTAAACTATGCCTATACTGTAATGAAGATTAATAGTCCTGAAATAGGTTATTTTTATTTTTATGAGTTAGGAGTTCTTGATTTTGCATGGGATAAACTTAACATCAACATTATATGGTATTATGCTTCAAACATTTTGGAAAATAACGTTATTTCAAAATTGTCTTTATTTCATTTATATAATCAGAATGCTATATACTTACTTTAAATGATATATACTAATTTTAGATGAATTTTTCTATTAATGCATATAGAGGTGTCTTCTTAAAATTAATTAAAGACAAAAACACAGGAGTCATCACAAGGCATGAACTATCAAACTGAAGCATAATTAGCCATTCAACTACTTTTGTTGAGGATAGTTATGGAGAAGCAACTTTCTAGCCATTGTAGGAAGGGATGTCAAAAATATTCAAAGGAAGTAGATTAGAATCAATTTTCTTAGAGAAGTGTACACTTAAGTTTGTTTTGAAAATAATTACTAAATCTCAGCGCCTGTAGCACAGTGGTTACTGTGCTGACCACATACATCCAGGCTGGAGGGTTCGAACCCAGCCTGGGCCAGCTGACAACAATGACAACTGCAACAAAAAAATATCCGGGCATCGTGGTGGGTGGGTGTCTGTAGTCCCGACTACTTGGGAGGCTGAGGTAAGAGAATCACTTAAGCTCAAGAATTAGAGGTTGTGGTGAGCTGTGATGCTGCGACACTCTATAGAGGGTGATATAGTGAGACTCTGTCTCAAAAAAATAAATAAATAGGGCAGTGCCTATGGCTCAAGGAGTAGGGCGCCAGCTCCACATACTGGAGGTGGTGGGTTCAAACCTGGCCCTGGCCAAAAACTGCAACCAAAATAGTAATAAATAAATAAATAAAAGAAAAAAGAAAAAAAAGTTTAAAAAAAAGGCAAATAATTGCTAAAATGAGAAATTTTTCCAATAAAGTGCTTGGATCCTGCTATGGTTTGAATGTTCACCTACTCCAAAGCTCCTACTGAAACTTAATCTCAATGTGGCAGTATTGCAAGGTAATATCTTTAAGAGATAAATGGGTCATGGGGGCTCTGTCCTCATGAATGAATTAATTCATTTATGGAGTAACAATTCAATGGTTTAATTCTTTAATTTATTAACTGGTTATCATGGGACTGGAACTGTTGGTTTCATAAGAAAAGGTAGAGAGACCCATGTGGTCACACTCATGCCCCCTCACCTTATACCTTTCCCTGCCTTGGGACTATGCAGAGGGAGCCTGCCAGCAAGAAGTCCCTCACCCTAATAAGCCCCTTGACTTTGGACTTCTCAGCTTTTATAAATGTAATAAGTAAATTCCTTTTTTCTATGAGGTAACCAATTTCAGGTATTCTATTATAAGCAACAGAAAATGGACCAAGACAAATCTAAATCCAATTTTGGTTATTGCTTAATATTTGAGCTGTAAGAACTTTTAACTTACATGTGTGATACATTTAATACCTATGTTGGATTTAATAATTGTGTGAAGAGCTCTACATTTGTGTGTTATAGTAAATACTGAAGCATTCTACCAATTTTCAGTATCCTGATTAAACGTTTTTGTTAACATTGTGTCAAAGAACTAGCAATCATACGATCACTCATTTGAAAGACTGTGATTGACAGAACTGACAGCTCGATTTAATAGTGTTATAATAATGGATTTTTTTTCTTTTAAACAAAGTGTGATTTGATTCTAAATTTTTAAAAGTAATCTTTATTATGCCAATGTCCTCTTGCCCATAAGTTTTATTATCTTAAATCTTAACTTAATTGACCCATGAGTCAATTATAAACTATGAGTGGTTAAACAATTTGGCTTTGTGAATTTTCTTAGCAGGCTGCAAGGAACCTGTTTCCTTCATATTTGCTCCTACTTGGTATTGACCTGGTACATGGTAAGTGTTCAATTAAAATTTTTTATATTGAATAGTGGATAAATAAATTAAATAGTGCAATATTTCACATAATATATTTTTGAAGGATTTTATCTAATATGCAACAAAGTCATGATATCCAAGTAAATTCTTTTCCTCTCTCCCTCCCTCCTTCTTCCTTTCCTCTCTTCTTCCTTTTCTTTCTTTCTCTCTCTGTCTCTCTCTCTTCCTTCCCTCCTTCCCTTCCTCACTTCCCTTCCCCTTCCCTTCCTTCTTTTTATTTATTCTTCTTCTTCTTTTTATTTTCCTTTCCTTAATTCCTTCCCCTTTTCTTCCTTTCCCTGTTTCTTCTCTCTCTTCCCTCTCTTTTTTCCTTCATTTTTTCCTTCCTTTCTGGCCCTCTTTTTCTAACAATATTGTAGTTCAGTAACAATCAAGTGAAAATAATATAATCAGTTTAGTCAATCATTTCAGTTTAACATAACTTTATACACATTTTGCTTTCTAAACCCTAAATATTTTAATATGATAATTAAGAAGAGTTATATTTAAAGATCTTCCCCAAGAAGGTATTATTTCAAACTCACACACTCTATATATACTAATATGGAAAAGTAGTTTTTTAAAAATAATAGGTGATTACTATGTTTTAAACATATAAATGTTACTATGAAATCAAAAACTAGGCATTATTTATCATTTGTTAATTATAAATTAATATTTTAATTCATATTCTCTTATACCACTACTTAATCGTATACCACTTTTTAGTCATATAAAATACTGATCATTAAGGAGATAACTTTTAGCTGTGGAGTAGCAATAGTAGTATTGCAGATGCATAAGAAAACACAAAATTGAATTTCAAAATTAAAAAATGAATTTTATGTTACAATTTTTGAAATGTGGTAGATATTAATGAAGAAAATGTAGATACAAAAGATGTTATATATTATTTTAAATTATTGTAAATAAAGAGAAAATTAAGTCAAATTAGAAAACTCATAAAGCACCAGTTTCCCTAGAAATCCCTTAATTATTTGTACCTCAGATTTCCACATTACCTCTGATGAAGTTTTCTCTGTAATGTTTGTGATGTATAATTTCATACAGTGTTTTCTTCCCTGAGGGAGATATTTACTTGATTCCGTTCTTGGATAAAAATGATCTGTCACCATTGTTTGCTTTAAAGGAGTTTTTACATTTTTTTTTTAAAGTACTGAATACCGAAAGAAAAACAAAGGCACAAGGGATTGCAGTCCGGCTGTCATAAATCAATATTAAAATGAATAATACCAATTTTTCTACCCCTGAAAAGAGGGCTTTTGCGCGCTTAATTTCTTGATGTTAAAATGTAGAGCTTTGTTTAAGGACTTCACATTTGGTTTGGCTTCTAGTTAAGTTTACAGCTCAGGAATGGGGTAATAGAGCAGTGATATTCCTGCACTTTAATATTTAATTCTATGCCCTGCTGGGGGTTGCTGAAGCTGTGAATTCCCTGAATGGACAATCACCAATTCCTGATTCTCTGGTCCCCTTGCCTTCAGCAAAGGTTATTGGATTCTATTTTAATGGCCTTTTAAAGGAAAAGAAAAAACAATTTCATATATTCCTACCTAGAAAGTCATCACAATCCTCATTGCTAAATATGTATGGGTATAAGGGGAAACACATCTCTAAACACCTATTTGTAAGATAGTAGCTTTGGGCTATTACTCATTTATTGCCTAAACTCTTCCAGGCATCTAATACAATGATTTATATACTAGAAGGTTATGCTTTGAAACTCACTTTTATCATTTTATTCCATTTTGGGTGTCCACAGAGCACGGCTTTCATGCTGAGGCTGCACATCAAATGCACTGATTTTGCGAAACCCTCCCCTGCGTTCAGATGCCTATCTTCGAATTTTTACCAAGTGCTTCTGGCCCCCTGGGGTGAATCACTGCCTGGGTGCATTAATAGCTGAAGCACAATTTAAGTGTCAGGATGGTGGCATCATCACTCTTTGATGCCGGTATCCCTGTTTTTTTGTGTGTGTCTCACTACAGAGAAACTAAGGCTAAAGGTTAACGGATTCGGTTTATTAAATAATTCAAGCCATTAACCTGCACCCCGCAGACTGATGGCAGCCTATTAAGTTTACACTGCCATGATTCCTGTTTGGTGTATACTGATGCTAAAGCATCGCGCCTGTTTGCTTTCCTTGTATCGCTACACTGTAATGAAGTGAGGAAGGAGAGTGAAAAAAGGTGACAGGACCCACGCAAGGGGACAATAAGAGCAGCAGACTCACTTGCATAAAGAAGATTGAAGCCTTCCTTCCCTCCCTCCATCTCTCCGTATAGGCCCCAGTGCACATCTGCGTCACTTAAGGGGGAGGAGGAGGCGCTGAGGCAGAGAAAAAATTGTACTGTGAGGACCTTGACAGCTTCACCGGCGGGATTTTTCTTTGGTCTTCCTATATTTTCAGGAATATATATTTTTGTCTCTGACAAACTGACTATATTAAACCCACCCCTTCTCGCACTGCAAAAAAGCATTTGACTGTTCTAGACATACAAGCAAGCTATCAGGGCATCCTCGCAGAGGCCAGGGAGAGGGGCGCAGGTGCACCAGGAAGGCTGGCAGTGGATACGCTTCTTCGCGACTTAAGGCTCTTTCTCTCTGCGCGCTCCAGGCACTGTAGTCAGCTGCGCGGACGGGAGCGCCGACACCTTCCCGACTACAGCTCTGTTCTGGCAGGAGCGCGTCCCAGTGAGGTGTATCCGCCCCCCACCCTCGAGCTTTGGAGCGCATAGATATCCCTCGCGCATCTCCATCCTCAGAGTCGTCTCTCCTCTCCATAACCGTGGGGCTCCCGCTCGAGGATCGAAGACTCTAAGCCCTTGGCGTCCCACTCCTGCCTCTTCTTTTGGCCAGTGGTCTCCCCACGTCCAGGTCCGGTGGACCTTACCACGACTGAACCGCGCGGCTTTGCCACCCGCGCTCGGGTCCTCGCCTGGGAGGGCGCGCAGCCGGCGTCGCCTGGTCTGGCTCTCTGAGCGCAGAAGGCGCATCCCTCTCCTTCCTGCGCCCCTGGACTTCGGTGGCTTCCGCTACCGTGCTAGCCAGTCTACTGCGTGAGCTGCCACCCCTTTGCCCTCTTAAAGCATGTCAGGCTCGGGGCGAAAAGACTTTGATGTGAAGCACATTCTGCGACTCCGCTGGAAACTCTTCAGCCACCCGTCGCCGTCCACCGGCGGCCCGGCGGGGGGCAGCTGCCTGCAACAGGACGGCAGCGGCAGCTTCGAACACTGGGGACCCAGCCAGAGCCGCCTGCTCAAAAACCAAGAGAAGGGCAGTGGGAGCGCTTTCTGGAAGAAGCCTTCCTCTCCTTTCTCCTCTTCTTCGTCGTCCTCCCCCTCGTCTTCCTCTTCTTCCTTCAGTCCCCTGAATGGCACCCTGCTTCCAGTTGCTACAAGGCTGCAGCAAGGGGCTCCGGGACAGGGCACCCAGCAACCAGCCAGGACTCTCTTCTACGTGGAGTCCCTAGAGGAGGAAGTGGTGTCAGGCATGGACTTTCCGGGACCACAGGAGAAAGGGCTGGCCCTGCAGGAGCTCAAAGTGGAACCCGCCAACTCGAGCCAGGCAACAGGTGAAGGATGTGGACAAAGGTACCGTAATTCCCCTAATTCCCCTTGGGCTTCCAAGCATCTCCCAATTCTCCCTGATTTCTCTGCCTGTGCTCTTGTGATTACCAAGTTTAAAACCTTTCAGGCTGAAAACGTGGGTTAAGAGATGCTAGCCTGGTTTTTATTACTGAAATTCTGATCTCATTAAAAGTTTGTTCATTAATTTCTGTTTGTTCAGCTATATTACTTCATGGAAGTTTTCGGGGGTTGCAATCACTAAATGAACATGCGTGTATCTGGGCAGCTCTTCACGTGGAATGTGTTCTCAGAGTTCTGAGACTGCAGTGTTCTGACAGCTTCTGTCATTAAATTCTATCAGTCTCTTCATTATCTGATAGGAGGTGAAATTTGCTTTAAACATCATCAGAATGCACCTCGTACAGTGGCCTAGTAACTGACTTAGCAGATTATCCAGGATCCCTGTGGCTTGCATTTATTTTAGGAATAATGAGGTAGACAAAACGAGGCCACGGGACAGCAGCGCTGTCTCTCTCCCAGCCCCCTCCAGAAATGAAGTCTGATTTCCCGTCTCCACTTCTCCCCTACATTTTGTACTTCATGTTCACTTTTGCCTTGTTCAGAGTCTTAGAATTAAACTGTGGCTAAGTTCCTTTGCATTCGGTTGTCATGACTGGTTGCCTCAGTATTGGAATTCTGTGTCTTCAGTAAGCAGCTCATTATTTATTCCTGCTTTATTTCTAGCATTATACTTCTTTTGGTAGAATTCTGATTTTTGAAGGCTTATAGAAAATCCTTCACACCCATAAAACGCCTTCTGAGTTTCAAATTTCTAGGGAATTGACTAATTTTTATTCTATACTACATCATTTCTAATTTTGCCATATAACCAGGATGTGAAAGGATTTGCATTTAGTTTCAAATGCTATTAGAATGCATTATTAAAGAAGAAATGTAAGAAAATTATAATGACTATGTTGATACATTTTAATCACTATTCAATAACAAATGATACGGAGAAGCAACTTGCTCAACTTTGGTGGATTGACTTGGCTTCTTATAAAGTTAAGTAGCAAAATGAATATAAAGCAAAATTATATATGCCATATATCACCTAGCATATATTTATGTATGCTCTTTAGGTAAGCTGACAAATGTGAAGTTACAGACACACAAAAAAACTTCAGCGTTTTTTAATTACATGCATTATAGATTTTAATGTGAATTTTAAGGGCCTTGAACTTATTCTTTTCCTACATTAAGACATTTACTATAAGATTATTGTTTTAACATGGAAAAGTTTAACTTGCAATTTTTAAAGGTTTTTCCACATATATCCATCTATAGGAGACCTAAACCTGTATATTTGTTATTCAATTAAATAAAATCTTTTACCAAAAAATAATTATAACCTTGGGGACCATGAATACCATGAGGTTATTACATTTATGTATTCACTAGTCATCTATCACTTTAGTCTTTTAAAAATAAAATGTGTTTTTTTATCCCTTTAGTTTAGCAAATATAAAAATTGAGGGGATTATTCATAAACATTTGGCATTTTACTTTATTTATTTAGAAGGAAAAAGGTTGGGTTAAATATTTACTAATATACATTAATAAAACTGAGATTTTAGAGACTCTGACAGCTCATGGAATAATAGCTATAAAATTTCAAATTAGCCTGAAGTACCCAATATCCTGGAAATAATACTGTTTAATTTTGTGTAGAAAGTTTTCTTTATAACAAATAGATAGTTAAGTAAACGAGGCACATTCAACATCAGGACATTATGGAGACTTTCATGCAAATTGGAGAATGTGAAAATGCTAATAGGTAATGACTTTAGAAATTACAATAAATTAACAAATATATAACTCAGGAATGAAACACCCACCAGATTCTTCTTTACTGTTTATACTTCATAAACACAATTTTTCAAGAATTTTATTCACAGAGAGTTGTAACAGAGAAGAATTCTGAAAATAACCCAAGTATCAGGCAAAGTCAACTTTACTGTTGGAATCAGGGTGCCTTATGAGGTTTTCTATGTGTAAACTATGGAAAATTAAGTCTAATTTTATTTTAAAATTCATAGTAATACTTAGTTCTATAGATAAATTCAAATTCCTTACTAGACAATTTAGCACAGCCAGTCTCTGATAGATTTTGTGTGTTTTCAAACTTTCATAATGGCTGATTGAAAACACATCAGTAAAATTAGCTATTGGTCATTACCAATATGCAGTATCTTAATGCAGTATGTGATAGATTAGAGTTCATTGAGTAGAAGAACAGCATTTTCAAAATAAAATGCTGAAGGGAAATTTGATTATACATCAGCCCTTCATGCAAAATAATCAGTAATGTGGAGTTAATATTTTTTTGACAACACATCCAGGCAAACTACGTGCTGTTTATGATGATCTATCAGTGAATACATACATGGTAAAAACCTTGTATGATATTTGTTATTGCTTGGGTCATTAGTATATCACTAAACTATGATATCATATTTAATAGATAACATTTTGTTTTATCAATTCTGACTTCTCTACTAAATTGATTGTTATATGTAAAACAGGAGTTGGGGCATCTTTTCTGATTTTATCTTTATTCATTTTATTGACCCACTCTTCATTTATTTGATACCATGAAAGTTAGGAATTTTGCTTTAGAAAAATAGGAGTAGCTCAGTTCAGTTAACTGGTTGTTACAGTAGCAGATGGAGGACATCCAGGGGAAAGCTGCCCATGATCTCAGAATTCTGGAAAGGTCAAATTATCATACACTTGAAACAGAAAGGTAGTAGGAATACAGAGGTAAACCAATCATGGCCCAAACTCAACTGTTATCGTATCCTACCTATTATATGAAAAACCTACTACCATATCCCACCCTAAACAAATCTCAGTATGCTATAGAAGGGATTACATTAAGAATAATTTTCAATAATAAGTCACTGATCTCTGGTATTAATCATTCATTTCTCTACTTCTCCATTCAAATTTAGTTTTGAAAGTGTATAATTTCCTGGATATTCAGATCACCATATATTTGTGTTGTGGATATTCTTGTCCAAAATCCCATATGTAGTAAACTACAAGACCAAAAAGCAATATTTATATTCTTGCAGTTTATAGTGATGTGCGTGGGAGAAAAGATGTCATGTTTTAGCTACTTGCTTTTTCAGATTCTAAATTCGTACAGAGTGCAGCCATCTAATTCCATGATTTTAGTTACTACACACACACACACGTACACACGCAGTATTTCCAGATTTGCATGTTCAAACCTAGACCTAACCCCAACCTCTAGTCTCCTAAATTCACCTCCCTACTTGACCTGTCTGGTGGATACCGTGAATGCTATTTAAATACAACATGTACAACACTGAGTTTGTAATCTCATGTCTGTATTGCTCAATTTCCTTCCTTATCTCAGAGCATAGCTTTCCATCTATTGGGTTGTATCCAAGTCATATTTGGCAACATCATCCTTCCCATCTTTTTAAAATATTCCTCCCCTGCCATTTTCACTTAGAAAATCTCCCTTGTATCTGTCCCACCTCCCTTTACTTGCATGGTCGGCAAAAATCTAAACAACTGTCTTCTTTGAACTGGAGTTCTGCAACTGCCACCTGTATCACCTTGTTACCCGAAGTGAATAAATTATCTGTTATAAAGTTGAGAAGCTGAACTACTTTTTCACATCCCTCACTACCCTTTTTTCCCCCAGAGGATTTCCACCACTCCCTGATTACGATCTGTCTATCGCAGAGACACCCACTGATCATGATGTATACCCTACACAGCCTGGTTCTGAAGGATCTGTGCTTTTGTATGCTACATAGGCCCCTCCCTCCCCAGCCTTCCCCTTCCCCTTTGCCTTCCAGGCGTAATGTCCTTCTCTTTTTCACTGTCTCTGGGTCTCAAGAACGTATTTCCTCTCTTTGCAGCTATTATTTCCTCAATTGAGCTTTTCTTGAGTTCATGCCTATCAGTGCATAAGAGTCTTGCATAAGAGCTCTGTGGCTTTCCCAAGGAAGCAGGTCTTGATCACCCAAATTCACTTCCCCTTGTTTTAAGTTCTTATTGTAGTGGTGCTCTATTTTTTAAAATTTTTTTATTGTACTCATCATTCTGCCTCTATCATACACCATGTAGTTATTCAATAAATACTGTTGAATGAATATTTGTCATAAGCATATTGAATGGACTTGTTTAAGAACTTGCTTTTTGCCACTATGACTTTAAATATTTATATACTTAAGTTAAAATTCATACCACTCTGCAGTCCCAGTACGTATGTGTACCTCTTAAGTATACACATATACTTCTATATAGATATAGATACACTTCTATCACTTCTATATAGATCAGAAGACTAACATATAACAAGGGTGAATAATTTCCCCAGAACCACAGGCTTAGAATCAGTATAGATGGACTTTTAATCCTTGTAATATGACGCGAGACCCAAACTGCAACTCACATTGCCAAAGCATCTTTCCCTCTGCTTAAGCAACCCAACAGAAGAAGGGTAGTTCCATATAAGGGTATAAGGCAACAAATTTCTTATTCTCTTGGTGGAAATTCTGCTTGTTCTATAATGTTTAAATAGACTTTGTACAGTGAAGGTGATAAAGAAATGCTTGCTATGTTTCATTTAAAGAAGACTTTTTAGTTCAAATTAGAAAACAGTTATTTTCCAAATAATGATTCATTCAGTGCATTTTATTTTATGATTATTTAACAGTATACCTAGAAAAAAATAACCCCTGGAAATGGAAAAAATAATAATTTTGAGGACTTAGAGATCCATGATAGAAAATTTTCTGCTGAGGGTCAGAACCATTGATAGACAGCTGCTGCTGAAAGAGAGGACTTGCCATTAAGAGTTCTTGGAGGTGAGTGGTACGTGCATTAGACATTTGTTTGGAATAAAAAGAATCAACTCTGTTTCAGTCAAGGGAAAGTTAACCTTGAAAATGATATAAGACTACTTCCTAAGGAAAGTTGTT